TGCTGTTAGCTTTCATACAGGCAGAGAAAATTGTTTCCTTATGAACTAATAAAACACAGGGCTGGACTGGGCGTGGTGGCTCGTGCCTGTAATCCCAGAACTTTGAGAGGTCGAGGTGGGCAAATCACTTTGAGGCCAGGAGTTTGAGACCAGCCTTAGCAACATGACAAAACCCCATCTCTACTAAAAATACAAAAAATTAGCCAGGTGTGGTAGTGTATGCCTTTAATCCCAGCTACTTGGGAGGCTGAGGCAAGAGAATCGCCTAAACCCAGGAGGTGGAGGTTGCAGTGGGCCAAGATTGTGCCACTGCACTCCAGCCTGGGCCACAGAGCAAGACCCTGTCTCAAAACAATTGAATTAAATTAAAATAATAAAAACTCAGGGCTGGAAATTTTAATTTGAGTCTCCACCTCTGATTTCTATGTAGATTGGTTTAAAAAGTCATTTTACAGGTTTTACTTTGCTTTACTTTCCCGCTTATAAAAGGAGAAGATCACGTTCTGTGTTCAAATATGTTGATCTTGCAAACTGCTAGTGCTTCTGGCTCTCCCACCAACCCAAATCTCCCACCAAAGATGAAGGATTTACTTGTTGAGGTCGTTTTGATAATCCCACATTCATCGGGGTTGTTTTGCTCTGCAGATAGATTCCCAACACTCCTGCTGCATAGAGAACAAACCAAGCTCCTCAACCAGGTTTCATGGCCCCCGGGGGCCTACTCCTCCCCTCCTGTTTAGCTTCTCCTGCCGCCTCTCATCCAAGAACTCCAACCGGGCCATCTTTGTCATCTCCAATGATTCATTTGATTTAATCCCACATTTATTGAGCACCTACCTATAAAGGAAGTGAAGGCTGGTTTTAGATGTATGCTATCTAGAAAAAGAGATGGGAACCTCTACAAATAAATGAGATACCAGGGAGAACATGATCAGCATCCTTCTGGCAGCAACTTGAAAAGATGAACTTATTTTCACAGGGAGGAAGAAGGAAAAGTCGGAGAATAGTGGCAGATTGTAACTTGAGCTTTCAAAGACGAGAGTTTCACAAGGAAGCAATAAGTGGAGAACTTCCTGGAGGAGCCTGCAGTGGGAATCTCCTAGGGGCATCTGGATCCCGCATAGGTGTGTAAGAAGGAGAGAGCAGAGCAGAGGCTGACCACAGGTAGCTTACAGGCCACAGCCAACCATGCACAACCTGTGGTCTGTGATGTTGTTAAAAAAAATTAAAATCAACAATATGAAACAAAAAATGTTTTAGATACAAATATGTATTTCTAGCTCCTGTGGACAAAAACTGGAAAATCCTGTCACCTGGGGCTTATGAGCCACCATAAGTAGACTAACATAGCGGCAGCCCTTCAGTTGGGATAAATGCCCTCCAATTGACTGTAGTCATCCCCACTCCTCTCTTATCACTCCACACTGGGCCCCCTTCACCTAATTATCACACCTGCATGGGCCCATTGTGGGAGGACAGGAGCAGGGAAGGAGACGCACCTGTCCACTGGCCACTTACTATCTACATTAAGTTGAGCACTTTGGCCATCAGTTTTGGTTTCCTCATCTGTAAGATACAGCTAGCATCACCAGTCTGTTTCGTTGTACAGATTAAATTAGATACTTTAACATTTAGCTTAATGTGTAAGTGTTTCATAAATGGTGGCTGTTACTACCAGAACTATTGCAGGAAAATGCCTCATTCAGGGCCACGAACTGTCATAATATTGCAAATTGGGAACACAGTGCTAAAGTATAAGCAAGCCACTTGCCCCTTCCATGGGCCAAAATCCTGACCTGCTGGCATCTCACTGGCTCTGCTCTGGTTCCATTCTTTACCTCTACTATTAGAGACAGAGATACAAAAATGACACCCCCCATGTGCAGACATACTCACATGAATGTGCACACACACACACTAGTATGTTAATTCCAAAATTTAAATATCTACATTGAGCCATATACCTGGTTCTTAGTCTGTTTTCTGAGAATTTTTCTTTCAGATAGCCAATTCAAAGATTCCCAAATCATCATTACATTCTGGACTTCTGCAAAAGACAAAGCTTCTCACAAATCCAAAGAAATTAGCCCTCCAGTGAATGGGCAGCATAGCTTTCTGTGTGTCAGAGGCTGGGAAATTTGAGACAATTGGAATATCCACCCTAAGCCTGTCAGACAGCAGTTTAAATCCAGAAGATCAAACGACATAGGATTGAGTCGTTTTTCCTGAACATGAATTAAACAGATGGTAGCACCTTAACTGCTTTTCCAGAACTGCCTAGGGGCCAGCTTCAATGCTGTAATTTTGCTAAGTGACATGACTAGAGTTTTGTGCTCATGCACCTGACAGGAAGCACCGTATATCTACTCTGCCCAAACGGGTCACAGAATGCCACAACACCACGTAACGAAGTCCCCTCTATTATCTATCTTAAGGACTAACTATACATATGATAGCAAAGTATGTGTATTATTTTACTTTATCTTTGAAGTGCAAGAACGAGAAGCTACACATGGCAACGTATCCTAATGTGTCCTTGTTTTTTAGAACTCTTCTTGTTGGTTTGTGTCTTTGCTATTTTTGTTTTGTTTTTTGTAGAGAAGGAATCCTGCCATGCTGCCCAGGCTAGTCTCAAACTCCTGGGCTCGAGTGATCTTCCCACCTCAGCCTTTAAAGGTGCTGCGATTACAGGTGTGAGCTACCATGCCTAGCCCCTTTTCTAGAACTCTTAAGACCAACACTCTGTCAAATAATGCTGGAGAAAGAGCAGGTAGTCAGAGACCCAGAACTTGGCATCTGAGACTGGTGGACTAAGACCTTGCCCACTGGAGTATTCACACATGAGAAAAGCTAGGGGTGACTAGTGACATTCGATAAATGTTTTCTTCAAAGGGAAAGTTGCTTGCACAAAACTTGAATATTTTTTTCTTACAGAAGCTCACTCATTAATTCAGTTGTCATTTCACCAAAAACAGAGTCCTCAGGGGTCACCTGTTATTTTTGCTGCCCGGCTTTTATCCACGGAACTCCAAATATCCCTTGGAGAACCAGGTCCGTTCAGTCGTGGGGGAACCTAGAATCCAGTTCTGTGTGTATACGTAAGCCCAAGCCAAGTGCTTGCCTGGTCTCAGTGATTGGGCTCACGAACTATACCTACATCCAGGCAGCTCTGGAAATGAAAGGCAGGTTAAATATAAAAGAGCTGTAATCTGGAAAGGAAATACAGAGGAAATGAAAGAAAGCAGAGGTTTCTTAGGAGGAAGTTTAATAAAGAGAGAAATTTAAGGGGAGAGAGCAAGTTAACAGGTCATGCTAGAAGAGGAAGAGCCTAAGGAAATGAAAACACGAGAGGTCCTTTCTCTCATTCTTACTGGGATACTGCATATTTCCAGTTTTTTAAGACTCTGGTATATGGCCTTATTCTAACTATCATTACTGACAAACGCAGTTCAAGTGTTTAACTTAGGGGGAAAATGACATTCATTTATCCTGAGGGTGGGGGGATTGAAAACAAATATCTTATAACTTCACTTTGGGATGAAACAAGAATTTGTTGTAAATTCAGCTTAGAAAAACTTCAACTTTTAGCCGGGAACTGCAAAATAACATGACAGATTTCAAAGCTGTGTTCTCATGCAATTACGTATTTTGTCTGAGAAAGCTGCCATCTCAGATGACTAAACTCATCAAACCATCAAAACATCTAGAATGTCCTGGAGGTTAGAGTGAATACGTGGACAGCAAACCTCCCTCTCCTCTTGTGTGTCCATTTGCATGGAGACTTTCCATGCTTTTTGGCTGGAGAAGAAGTAGTTTGTGCCTGTTTTGATTGGTGCATGGCACCTGCGGGAAAAGGAGGAAGAATGGAAGGCAAGTAGGGGATGAACAATATGCCTGTTTCCCCGCAGGAGTGACGTTGGGCACATGCAGACTGCTTTAGTGCAAAGCTTGGGAGGAACTGCATGACAGGAGACAGCCGTCACCTATGGTTCCCATCAGACTTACCTGCATGGCACACATTAGCATTCCTAAGCAGGTAAGAAACAGTAGTGCCATTAATGCATTCTGAAGTAAAATAGAAAATGCCCTCAGAAGCTGGCACATGACAGCATTCCACCTGGAGGCCAGAATGCAAGGACAAAGACAGCCTTTATTCTAAGCACACGGGAGCCTCCCTCTGAATTTCCCATACACCCCCGGGAAGACTTTAAACTTGGAAAGATACATGGGGGCCACAGGATCTGAAATTAAGGTTTAGATGTGAAGCACGAGACATTCCAGTTATACCACGAAAGTCTCCCATAAATCCTCAAATATACATATAATTCTAAAGAAGCATACATGAAAAATTTACTTCTATACTTAGAGCAACCTACTAAGACTTTGCCATATGGATTATCCGCAAAGAATCTTGAAACCCAGGATGAAGGATGAATTCCGTCTGCCACTGACAAGATGTACAGATTGTCCAATGCACTATTAATCATCATATGTCCCAGATATGCAAACTAATTTAATATCAACTTCATCAACTCATTTAATATCAGCATAATTAAGAAAGTTATTCAAAGCATTCTGAAGTAAAATAGAAAAGACCTTTATCTAGCTATAAAACAGTTTGCCTTCATTACTGTAAATGAGAATAAATGAGAACTGACCACATTTCTAGTCCACTCCTTGGGACAAATTTAATAATGTGTTTGAGAGCTGCATCACCATTTTTATTGAAGGGAATATTATTATTATACAGGGTTCCTGCCTATTTCTACTCCCTACACGTTATATTCATTTTTGGAAGCAGCAACAATAAAAATGGTTTCATTTATTTTTCCTTATTTCACAATGTCAGATTTTCTTTTTCTTTCACACAAAACCACATGCCTTAACAACTACAAAGGGATTAACACATTTCTTCTACACCAGAACCCTCACTTTATCTTCATTGCTATGTCTCCCAACAATGCCACAGCTCTTAAGCCTGGAAACAAAGCTTTACTCACCGAGCCTGAGAGAGACAGTCATAATTTGATGGTAGAGGTTGTAAAGGGCCTTCTTTCTGATTTCCAGATTTTAAATAACAGGATCTAATTTCCCCTGTAAAATCAGAAAATTTCAGCAAAGAAGATGACGTAATTATTTGCACAGAATTGTCTCAGCTTATACAATCTTTAAGTTAAAAGGAAACTTATTTTGGTCTGTTGTAATAATTGCTGAGAAACTGGATCCATTCTTTATATTTCTCCACAGAGTGTTTATCATGAGAAGTCAAAGAATGTCTAAAAGAAACTTTACCGAGAAAATTTTCTTCGACCTATTTCCCTGCTAATATACTTAGACAAGTTTTCACTTGGTTACTTATGACTTAATTACTTTTGATAGACTTATTGTATCATCTCTTAATTCACTTTGTATATATTCTCTTCATGTGTCAGCATGATCTGTGCTAGGATATAACTCAGGTTTTCTGTATAGGTATACCTCCAGATCATGAGCTAAAAGCAGCTTATTAAGTGCACAGTTTTGATTGGTGGACCACATGAGGCCATCTCTGCCTCCAAATGTGCAGATGAGCAAGTGCCACAGCACACTGACTGATGTGTCAGCCTGTTAATGAGGAAAAGCAAGAGATGGAATTAATTTGCAGAGTTCAATTAGCTCCCCTAAAGCAGTTCAGGAGACTGAGGTGTGAAAATCCGTTCTTTTTCTAATGTAAACGGTTTCTGCGCAGAAGAGCTCCTACTAGTACCTTCTTCAGTTGACACAGGAAGCGTAATTAACCTTGTCTGTTGTGAGCAGCTGGAAGGTGGCCCTCTACTCAAAGGTGTTTTTCACCAAGAGAAACCGTATTGACAACCGCAGCCCCAGCGGAGGCTTTCATGTAAGTGTGAATGTTGTTCTTTATGATGTAAATGTCCCTTATATTTCTGCAGATGCAAAAGCATTTAAAACTACAAACTACTGAACTGCAGATAAAGAAACTATATAATTTATTCTCCAAACCAGGATCCTTTCGAGAGTAAAATAACAAGCACTACTGGATCTATATGATACATAAGCCAAGACCCATCCCAGAAAAACTAGGACCTTATCCTTTGAACTTTGAGCTTGCCGTTTTTAATTCTCTATGTATATTATTTTAAATTTTTTCTATAACAAGGCACTGAAAAAATATGTCAAGGTCAGGTGTGCAACATAGATCCAACTAGTATTTACTGAGTGCCAGGCATTGCCCTCCTGAAGTTGATAACTCTAAGGGGGAAATGCCATTCATCAAATTATTATACAAGCTGTAATATTATCAAAGAAGGAAAGAGATGGGGTGTTAAAAGAACAACAAAAACTGATGAACTTGGTTAAGTTTGGGGAGTCCAGGAAAGGTGTCCCTGAAAAACTTACCTTAGGACTAAAATCTGAAGGATAAATAGCACACACTGGGGCACAGCATGTGCAAAGGCCCTGAGATAGAAGGGAGCACACTCTGTTCAAAGAACATTATGTGTCAACTATGGGGCTAAATCTTCCAGTTCTCAAGTCTAGATGTCATGCTGAGTCCTGAAAAAGCTGACAGTTTTCCCCCGCTTGTCCATTAGTAAAGAGCTCCAAAGACTCACCATGTTCATCAATGAAGACATGCATAGCATCCACAGATATCTCTTCTTGTGCGGACGTTTCAGGCCCACTGATGACTTGCAAGACAGAACTATCTTGTTGGGAAGTTACCCTGTAGATTATCTGTCTTTGTCTATTGCCCTGGAAACTTAACATATATAAGAGTTTCAAAAAAATGATTAGAAGTTCCTCCTTATCCTTAATAAAGCATTAAAAGCAGCAGCCAGTAACTAAGTCGTTCTCATGCTTTATGATCAAGTGAAACTAAGTCAGTAACTTATCCTTACAAGGCCGTGGTCTTGGCAGGCTGAGTGCATATGGGGCTGGTACTAGCATGGTCTTGACTTTGCAAGTCTGGTTTTCCTTGCTTAGAATTGTGTCCACTGGGCTTTTCTTTCTCCAGGACTTCCTCCTTTTTTTCCGGGGAACAGTTATCTGAAAAACATTGCTTTATGTATTAATATAATGTAAAATAAATCAATGGTGAAAGCTCTGGGAAGTTACCAAAACTGAAACAAGAATAGAAAGAAAATCTGAGCACCTCCTCTGAAAGTAAAAGGCTTTTAAATAATTTTTCACTTTCCTAATTATGGAAGTACCTACATATATTCGAAAAACAGAAGTATGTATAAGTTTGAGATGTGTTTTTTAGGCATCTACAAACACCTACTATTTTACATATAGGCTGAGGAATTTCCTTGAAATAGCTCGGTGACCACCATGTGCTCAGCTGGAAATCACCCATTTAGATTACATAGTTCTAAAAGGCTCATATCTCATAAATGAATAACCTCAGATTCAAAAAAAAATTACAAAAACAAATCTGGCTATTTCAGAGCAAGGTCCCTTTTACCATTTATAAATCTTATCAGTTTTTCTTCTCACTCACTCTCCAAAACTGAATTTTCAAGCCAAAGCTAGAATTGGCCCTTCAAAAGCAAATACTTGTTAAATATAGCTGGGGGCAGGGTTGTTTTTGTTTGTTTGTTTGAGACAGGGTCTGGCTCTGTTGCCAAGGCTGGAGGCTGGAGTGCAATGATGGAATCATAGCACACTGCAGCTTCAACCTCTTGGGCTCAAGTGATTCTCCTACCTCTGCCTCCCAAGTAGATGGGATGACAGGGACAAGCCACTGTATCCTGCTAATTTAAAAAATTTTATGTAAATATAGGAGCATGCTATGTTGTTCAGGCTGGTCTTCAACTCCTGGCCTCAAGTGATCCTCCCACCTCAGCCTCAGCCTCCTGATGCACCGGGATTACAGGTGTGAACCACCACACCTGGCCAAGTACAGTTGATTTTGAAAAATATGCTTAGCACTGTGGAGGACACAGTGAGCTACAACACCTACTCCTTGCCCTGAGAACACTTTAAGGTAAATGAGAATTCCAAGATCAATAGGTATAGATTTGGGGTGGGCTTTTTTTGTTTTTGTTTGTTGGTTTGTTTTGCATTTTTGAATCCTCTTTAAGCAATGAGCCAACTAAGGGTCTCAGTTTATACCATTATGCAAAATGGACTGCATATGTCCCTGAGGGTCAGCCCTTCCTTATCTGTGGACATATTCCAACAGTCACTTTAAAGATCAAAAGGACCACTGTACTCCCATGACTTACTCTGAGTGAATGATTAGCTCTAAAGCTCAACAGCCTGTGCGTGAGAGAACAGAATTCAGCCTGAATCTACAAGTTCTTTCAAGACACACCATTAGAAAAGTCTGTCAAGCTCTGCCTAAGCCCTCAGAAAGCAAAACTATGTTAGTGTCTGTGGGATATAAAGCATATCATTGCATATAGAACAAAGTTATTCATCCTTAAACCTCAAGTAATTAGAGGAGCAATGCTGGCTTCTCTGAGTCCTGAAGATAAACATTTTCAGCACATCTGTGAGATTACCATAAGAATTTCTTTGGTATGAAAATGTTTGCATTTCATTTGACAGCCTGTCAAGATAGAAGTTTCCACAGTTTTCAAGAAACACATTTATAAGAAAGTGTTATCATAACAAATAGCTTTAGCCAGTAATCATGCCTCATAAAAAATTACAGAAAGGCATATTGACACAGCTCTCCTGCTTCACACTAAGTGTCTCTGAATTCATTTGTTCACATCTCTTTATCATATTTTAGACTCCTTTTCTCTTAAATGGGTACATTACGTAAGTCAACATATGGACTATATTTTTCCTTCTTTCCTTAAAAAACACCTTTATAGAAATGTTTCTGTTTATAAAAATAGTACGCATTCATTGTATATAATTTAAAACTATACAAAAGAAAAAGCTTTGAATCACTCTTAATTCTGATATTACCACTGGAGCCAATTTGATACACATCACACCAGTCTCTTTTTCCTAGATATATGCACTATTTTTTTTTAAAAAAGGAAGTCATAATACAGGTGTGGTTTTATACCTATCATATTTATCTCAAACTATTGTAAATATTTAATGTTATTGGATATTCATCTACATCATCCAAAAATAGTAGTTTTATAATATTACACTGATATGGTATAATTTAAATAGACCCTGACTATAAATTTACACTGTTTCAGTTTTCCATGTTATAGATAATTTTTCAATAAGTGTTTCTATATGCATTCATGATTATTTTCTTAGAAATTCTTAGAAGTTAGGAGACTGAATATACAAATGGACAATGGCCAGAAAATATTCCTAAACAAAGAACTCTGACCAATAATCTGCAACAACCAGGTGAGAAAACCAACCCATTATCCAGAGTAACCAGGCCAGGAAGCCAAAGTACTATGCACAAGTCAGGCTTGTAGGAAGTCAGACCATTACTTCTGGCAGACCACCCAGGAAGCCAAACAATAACCCCTGTAATAATGAGCCCTCAAGGGCCAGGACTTAATTAATAACTGACAGCTTCCCTAATGTGTGTTCCTGCTTCCAACTTAGGACCACTCAAAGAAAGCCAAATACAGTTCCCTAACCAAGCACACAGAATGCTTCACTCCTCCTAGGTTAGCCACCTCCAACTTCCTAATACCCATAACTTCCAGTCAGGGCACATCAGAAGCCTTCCCTTTTTTCCACTACAAAGCTTTGTCATTCTAGTTGCCTTTAAGTCGCTGCTGAACCCAAGTGATGATGGCTCACTCCCTTCCTATAAGCAAGGTCTGAATAAATAGACTTGCCTTGTCCTCATTTGGGTGATCCTCATTTATTTCCACAAAGTAAAAACAAAAAAGCAAACAAACATGGTTTAAAGGCTTTACAAGAGTGTGTGGTTTCTCCATAGCCTTGAATTCTAGGATACTCCTGAGACCTGAGGATAATCCTAAAGCCCTTTGTGAAGAGAACCTGGGCTCAACATTAGAGTGCGTTGGAGAGAACTGGAAAATCAGGTATCTTTTTGTAGTCATGTTGAAGGTTAAGGACTGTCCTCCTAATGAGCAGGAAAAAGATTAGGGAACATTTCCCAAGCTGCTAGTCTCATTAAACTCCATCATGTTGTTTCATAAACACAGTCAAACCCTGGGTTTTCTGATTACAGTAACAAATACTTTAGTGAAAGAAGAATGAGAGGATATTACCAATCTCGAAGATACATGGCCCTGCTGAAAAACTATCTACTTTGCCATGTTTGACACTGACGGCCTTCTAAGAGCGAAAAGATTCATTGTTGTCTGTCTCTTTCTCCCCTTCAGTTAAAATCCTCTGTCCTTTCCTAAAACAAGCATGTAATTCATTCCAGCTTCTTCCTTCCTGCTGTACCTTCACGTTCTTGATAACCAAGCCTATTTCTTTCCACAGAATACCTCATCTCTCCCAGCACACAACCTCGATTTCCAATGTAACCCTTCTGATTGAACGTGGCTGGCTGGAAAAATTAAGGAGAGCAAAAACTCAAGTTGGCAAACCAAATAAACTTTACATGTGGCCTGAGAAGATAGATGTTATCTACGGGATAGATGATAAACACCCAAATATTTTATTTAAAAATGTTGGTCTCAAGCTACTCCTGCTTTATATACTGCCCTGTCTGCTAAAAAGTTTAACTGAATCAGAGAAAATTACTCAGAGACACCATTACGGAGTCAGAGGAACACCTGACTGTCTAGAGAGCAGAGCAAAAAATCCCAGCACTTAGAAACGTTACCACGACAGCACAGAAAATGAGCTACCATATGCAAACAGAACTTTCAGTAAGCAAGTTCTGAGAAGAAAACAAAGATAAAAGACTGAAATTGATCAAATAGCAAACACGTATTTTCTTAATTGAACCCTCACAATAAATCTGTAACATACTATGATTCCTACTATATAGAAGAAACTCTAACACAGATGGAGTTGGTCCATTGTCCAAGCTCACCAAGCTGGTATTACTGAACCAAAATCTGGCCTTGGGCTATGTGGTTCCAAAGTCAGTGTTTTAACCACTGGACACATTGCTTCTGGGTAGGCTTTCATGTCCTTTGGATTATCACTATCTAATACAGTGGCCAATAGTCACGTGGCTACTTAAATGAATTAAAACGTAATAACATCAAAAATGCCACTTCTCATCTGCACAACTCCGTTTTCAATTATTTAACAGCTGCATGTGGTCATTGGCTACCATATTGGACTGCCAATATGGATTATTTCTATCACTACAGAAAACTGTATTGGACAGTGCTAGTCTAGAGGTATGAATCTTTATATTGGATAGATGATAAACACCCAAATATTTTATTTAAAAATGTTGGTCTCAAGCTACTTCTGCTTTATATACTGCCTTGTCTGCTAAAAAGTTTAACTGAATCAGAGAAAATTACTCAGAGACACCATTACGGAGTCAGAGAAACCCCTGACTGTCCAGAGAGCAGAGCAAAAAATCCCAGCACTTAGAAACGTTACCACGACAGCACAGAAAATGAGCTACCATATGCAAACAGAACTTTCAATAAGCATTCCTACTATACAGATGCCATCTTAACACAGTTCTATGTAGAAATGATACGCTCAGAAATCACAGCATTAATAGAATTTAAAGCTAAAAGACCTTATAAAAGCTCTAGTCTAGTAATACCATTGTATCCATAAGGAAACCGAGGCCCAGAGACATTAAGTAATCTGAAGATAAATGTACCTTATCTTTATATAGGAAATGCCATTTAATTTTAATGAGCAAGGACTCTGGAACAAGACTGCCTGCAATCAAATCTCAGTTCTAGCACCTCTTGAACTGACGAGACACCCGGGAAAGCTAGTGAAAATTTCTGAGCCCCATTTGAAGAACAGGAATGATAATGGAGTATCCATAACATAAAGTTATATAAGGAGTAAGTGACTTAATATGAGGGTAACTATATATTCATCATCTAAACTGGGGACTCTTTTGAGAGAGAAAGTCAGTGCTCTTAATAATTATGTTGGCAAAATGTGTAAATGAGGACCCTTCCAGGCAAACCACAAGATACGGTCACCCTTGTTAATGTATGAAAAGTGCTTACGACACTGCCTGGCATAAATTAAGAGCTGCAGAAGTGTTTGTTTTTATTATGTGTACAACATGGGATAATTGGCCAATTCTGCATTTTATAATGGAACTCAGCAGGAAAAGTAGATTCACTTCACAGAAATTTGAAATCTGTCTTAGAATCAACTTTCCCAGAAGGCATCTATTCCATAAAGGAAGAAATGTCTATTGCGAGTACTTGCTACAGTATTAAAATATAATTACTTATTTCTCTGGAGAAAATAATATTGCCTTCTATAGGGAAGCCAAAAAATTATGAAAATGTCTTAAGTGTCCTGGTAGAGGAAGACAATATATGTATACATGTTCATCACAGAGCTTAGAATGGGCACATTCAGCAAATACTGATGACAAGCCAAGCAACAAACAATTGCGCAAGAGTTGTAACACTGTTGGCAAAATCAAATCGCAGAGGGCAAACCACAGAGAGGCGTATTGCCTTCCACATCATCATCAGAACGGAACTGACATGGAATCCTACCTCGGAGAAGCCCACTTTCTTCATTCGGCTCTGCTGAGCCATTCAATTGATTGGATGCCGCCACCTTGGAAGTATTAATGGATTCTAACAGGGAGACAAATTCCAGGAAGTTGGACTCATTTGGTATTTGTCCTTCCTTAGCCTCTAGGTCAGATTTGGAAGTTGGCATTGTTTTCTCTTTATCATTAATAATTTCTGCAGAACTTTTACTCAAGAAGACATCTGTCCCACTGTCCACACTGAGCACCCGGGCATGTCTCTTTTCATTGCTGGACTTACAAGATGATGGGTCAAGTATAATCTGGCCTTCTTTCCCCACCTTAGACTCGGAAGCTATATCAGGTGTAAGCCGGGATGCTGATTCCCAGGGTTCCCGTGAGGAAGAACTGTGATCCTTGGTGGCACTTTCCCCCTCCCCAGATCCGTAGCCAGAACACTGATTGGTGGATACCTTTGCCTTCAGTCTCTCTGGAGTCCTTTTGCTACCCTGGCCTTCGGGACAGGGAATACCGCCTCCCCCGTCCTCAGGCAGGTCCAGGGTGATCACGGGAATTGAGATCTGCTCCGCATTTGGAGAACTGGCTACCCTTTGGTTAGTTGGCTCAGCACCAGACTTTAAGCAGGTCTTCTCTGTGCCAACCACCTTCAGGTGGAGGGGGCTTTCCAAATCTGTCATGGAGTTTGGAGTACTGCTCATCGTGATAACAATTTTAATGGGTTCATGTAGACTCAGTGGGTCGCCGGGTTGAGAAGTATCGATGAGAGTAACAGCTACTTCACCATCTGAGGAGTCTAATTCCTGGTTCAAGGGCAAATCCACCTGGCAGGAAGTGTCTGCCTGGCAGGAAGTATCTGCCTGGCAAGAGGTATCCACCTGGCAGGAGGTATCCACCTGGCAGGATGTGTCCACTGGCTCCTCCACAGGCTTGGCCACGACGGTGTCACACTGAGGGCAGCTGCTGCTCAGGCTATCCTGAGGTGAAGTGCTTTGCACCTGTTCCCTTATGGAGCCCTGGGGACGACTGACAGGTTCCAGAATCAGGACTGAATTCTCACTCCCCCATGGCTGAAAAGAAACATCTGTTTCTAGTAAGTCATACTGAGACAAAGACAGGTGGGGCAACTTCTTCAAGGGACCCTTATCCACTAAGCCACCCTCAGATCTGTGGCGCAAAGGAGGCTGCCCCTTGCTTCCTCTTTCCTTTCTTTTAACACTAATGAAAGTTTCTGTGGCAACTGGTTTTACGGGTATTGCTGACTTGGGCGAGGTTTCCAGCATGTGTGCTTGAGAAGCAGGTAAGCTTTTCATTTTGATACCAGGTGAGGTAGATGACACTGGTGCTATGGGATGGTCTTCTGATAGAATGACACCTGAAATAAATGACACACAGCAACTTTATCAGCATCAGAAATGAATGAGTAATGCCCAAGAGCAAGACCTAATGAACAATAACAAAACTAAAACAGCACCAGCAACTAAAGGAATTGGATGCTTCTTTTTTTTTTTTTTTACTTTAAGTTTTGGGATGCACGTGCTGAACATGCAGGTTTGTTACATAGGTATACATGTGCCATGGTGGTTCACTGCATCTATCAACTTGTCATCTAGGTTTTAAGCCCCGCACAAGTTCGGTGTTTGTCGGAATGCTCTCTCTCCCCTTCCTCCCCTCCCACAGGCCCCAGTGTGTGATGTTCCCCTCCCTGGGGCCATGTGTTCTCATTATTCAACACCCACTTATGAGTGAGAACATGCGGTGTTTGGTTTTCTGTTCCTGTGTTAGTTTGCTGAGGATGATGGTTTCCAGCTTGATCCATGTCCCTGCAAAGGATGTGAATTCATTCTTTTTTATGGCTGCATGAATAGTTATTTTTTTTAAATAACACTTCCAGTGTTAGTGTTATTTTTACTGTTGTGTCCTTGAAACACAATAATAAAAATAAAACAAATGAAAAGCAATACAGCATTATAACTAGGTATACACCATTTACATCATTGTATTAGGTATGTTAACGAATTTAGAGATGATTGAAAGTAGACAGGAGGATGTGTGTAGGTTACATGCAAATACTATGCTATTTTATGTAAGAGATGTGAGCATCATCCACAGATTTTGGTATCCACGGGGATCCTGGAACCAAATCCCCTAAAATACTATAGAACACCACCAAGTAGGATGGTGTCGTTTATAAGATTTGACTAAGGAAAAAACAAAATTCCTTGCTTTACTGCAGTGATGCTAAGAAGCACTGGACTTAGCAGCTGAATATGGGTTTAAGTGCTATCTGTATATTTTATATACTATGACTCAGAATGAAATAATATATGTAAAACTTCTACGGCAATTCCTAGCACAAGTCAAAAATAGGAAATTATTGTTTTTATTGGGATGGCAAAATTAAAAGGCCAGACTAGATATTCAAAGTATATAAGATTATGAGCTATAGCACACCTAATCTGGAAGAATATGTTTAATGTGATGAAAAAGGTATGTGCTTGTATCTACGTGCATAAAACAGACATAAAGTAACATTGTTATTAAGTTGTATGTGCAACTAAAATATTAGAAATCTAACTAACGTGAATTTAGTTCAGCAGTAATAATATGGAAAAAACTCTGGATAATCCTGTACTAATTGTTATAATGGGATACAGCTGAATGATGAAAAAAGCAACTTCATTTTAGGGGTTCAGGCCTATGGTGCTAATCTCAGCTGTTTTCCACAACAAATTAAATTTTACACTATTTGCAAAATTGAAATAGTGTATAAAATTTGTTTTATAGTAGTGGAAAAGCAGATAGAATTGCAGAGAAAAAAGGAATCAATTCAGTCTTCCAAAAGACCTTTTCTAAGCCTTCTGCAGGTAGTCAAAAGACAAAAATAATCTCAGTAAAAACATAAAACAAAAATTGTTTAGGTTAAAAGAATGTTCCCCCAAAACAAAATGTAGCTTGAAATAAAGGTAGATATGCAGAATGCTATACAATTTCTCCTGTCAGTTTTTTATGTATATACTATAATAAAATTTTATATAGATGACAATTGATAAATTATCATCAATAAAAAACTTACATGTCTGCTCTTTATAAGCCATATGAAATGAGGCACAGACTGGAGAAATGACAATGAATTATGATCAACAAAATATCACAATTTGAATTAAGACTTGATATACAAATACTGGTGAGAAAAAAATAAAATTAAGAGTTAAAGAAACAAAGTCAAGATACAACTATGCAGTCTTAGGTGTAGTTCTTATTTTCAATTAATCAACTGGCATTCTGTTTTATAAAAATATTTTTCACTTCACTGAGGATAAGACTGTGATAAAACATAGACAACATTTTACCTTTGAGATCTTCTACGGTTTCCTGTGCTGACAACTCCTAAACAAAGGAAAGAAACAAAAATCAAGAGATGACTCAGCTGATCGTCCATTTCCAGGCAGTCAGCAGTAACTGATCAGTCGTTACTGGCAATAATTGATCAGTAGTCACTGGTTTTCCAAATGGCATGTAGGGAAGAGAAAATACAATGTCCACTCTCCTTAAGCTTCTATAAAATGGGAACCAGAATGGATACAAACATACATAAGCATGGACATTCAACCAAGACAACTGTACTGTGACAAAGGGAGAATTGCCACTAAGAAAGTAAAAAGAGAAGGAATAAACCATGACTTACACTATGGTGAACAGAGTTCAATAAAGTTCATCTAGAAAAAGGTAATTTATTAACTTTTCAAAAAGACAAGTGTGATTTGAAATGGAGAGCAGAGGTGATATCCATTTCAGGTGGAAGGCACTGCAGATGTGATGACTTCAATGAATGACAGCAGAATGGAGAAGAAAGCAAAGGTCTGCACATTGGTTCTCTGACCAGTGTGGCTGACCCAGCAGGGAGGGTGGATGGCAGAGGAGGCCAGTGAGTGTGCTTTGAACACATGACTGGGCATTTATTTTATGGTCCCAAGGCACTCTTCAGGCCATTTCTGTACCCTGGGATGAGATATTCCACTGTACAAGAACCAGTGATTACAGCATGCAAGCTACAATCACTGCTGCTGAACACTCCCGTTTTAGGTGAGATCAATGGCGAAACAACACAAAAAGGGTGAAACAGGAAAAAAGACCACTAACCAATGGCCCAGAAGAGCGATGAGAGGTTATGCTTTGCCCTCTGGAGCTGCAGCGGAGGGGAGGCGTGGAGAGGTTTCGATTGGCCTCTTCCTTTTTGCCATTGTGAATCTGCCTATTATTGCTAACCCAACATGAGAAACACAAGAACAGTGAATGACATTATCAAACAGAAGCATGACTCTTTTAGTACTAGTCCAAAAACATTTTTTTCCTAGCGTCCATTCTGTCATATTCCTTACATATAAATCTTTTGTTGTTGTTGTTAAGAGACAGGGTTTCACTCTGTCCGGGTAGGCTGGAACGCAGTGGCACGATCATGGCTCACTTCAGACTCAAGTGATCCTCCCACCCCAGCCTCCCAAAATGTAAAATTTATGAGCCACCACGTGCAGCAGATAAATCTTATAATAAACATTATTCTTAAATTAGAGGACATGCTATCTTAAGGAGCAATAAGGAATAATACAGAGAATCATGAAAAGAATGCTAACTCTCAATACTCTCAATATTTCAGTTCTATGTAATGTATCGCTTTTGTATCAACAAACACACATGCTATTTTTAAAATACTTTGGCATGCTCTAAGCATTTAAATAACAACATAAACACAGTGAAGTGAAATTTTTTGTAGTGCTAAGCCTAAGGCAAATGAATTCTAGATCATACGAGAGGGTCATATTGATAGCCAGTTAAACCATCTTGATTATGAATGTCAATTTTATACTTTAAATATATGAAAAATGCACATATTTCTGTCTGCCTGTACTAGTGATTTCATAAACAACTGATAACAAACACTTATTTTAACCAAGATAAAAACGTTTAAATTTTGAACTGTCACGTTAATTGGAACTATTACCTTGGATTTTTGTGACTTGTTGTGTGTTCACCTTTGGCCTCCTTGTCTCTACTTGGCTTTTCTTCCTTTCTGGAGGGCTTTTGCTGAATTACTTCTCCTTTATCAAACATGAGGTGTAGGCGGTAACTGACCAATTTGATGATTGTGAAGAAAATAGTCACTGAACTGCAGTAGAAAAATACAAGGATCGCATTTGGAGGAAAAGCCTGAAGAAGGAAAAGAAAGAGAAAAATCATCTGCTTAAAATGTTCTTTCTGCTTAAAGCTGGAAGTATGTTTGGACTATGTATTAAACATAAATTAGGCAAGATTTCAAATTTGACTAATTTTGTAAGTTTTACTGGTTCAAATACCTGAGGAAAAAGAGCTGCTATCTTTTTATATTTTTAAGTCTTTTTTGTTTCTCAGGTTCTGTAGTCATTGGACTGATAACCAACATGATTTGTGAGCAGGAACCCCACAGAACAAAAGATATATTTGAGGAAACCTCTCCAATTTTTTTTGTATTATTTTTTAAGATGGAGTTCGCTTTATCACCCAGGCTTAAATGCAGTAGTGAGATCTTGGCTTACTGCAACCTCCGCCTCCTGGGCTCAGATGATTCTCCTGCCTCAGCCTCCCGAGTAGCTGGGATAACAGGTATGCACCACCACTTCTGGCTAATTTTTGTGTTTTTAGTAGAGACAGGGTTTCATCATGTTGGCCAGGTTGGTCTCGAACTCCTGACCTCAGATGATCTGCCCACCTTGGCCAAAGTGCTGGGATTACAGGTGTGAGCCAACCACATGTGGCCTCCACGTTTGATGAGCTCTTATCATGGCCTAATCCAATGCATCTTCCTATGCATCTGGTCTTAAAGGCCAGGAATGTATTTGTTTTCATCAACAAAACACAAAAAGCCTTGTGAAGAACAGAAGGAAAAACAAGAGAGAAAGGTTAGAGTAATCACTCCTCCATTCCCCTCCCTGACCTCCCATTGGGGTAACACCTGCAGGCCATGGATTTCCCTAGGATTGTAACACACACAGGCGACCACAAAAAGGTATTACTTCCAAAAGGAAGAGGGATATTTCCAGCAGATAAAAATGATCTGCTGGGCGCGGTGGCTCAAGCCTGTAATCCCAGCACTTTGGGAGGCTGAGGCGGGTGGATCACGAGGTCAACAGATCGAGACCATCCTGGTCAACATGGTGAAACCCCGTCTCTACTAAAAATACAAAAAATTAGCTGGGCATGGTGGTGCGTGCCTGTAATCCCAGCTACTCAGGAGGCTGAGGCAGGAGAATTGCCTGAACCCAGGAGGCAGAGATTGCGGTGAGCAGAGATCACGCCATTGCACTCCAGCCCGGGTAACAAGAGCGAAACTTCATCTCAAAAAAAAAGAAAAAATTGATCTGAGCATGGTGACTATAGTAAGGTTCAGCTCAATTCTATGAAATCCCCTAAAGAAACAAAAAGAATCACTGGGACTGGTGGAGTTGTCCCACTCTGTAGCATCTCCCATGTACCTTCCTAATTCTCTCCAGGACCATGGACTATCACAGGTCCTCTGGTCCTTCCTAAACTACATTCCTATTCTTTGGGGTAGAAAGAGATCCCCGAGTTTCCCAAGGTGATCTCCAGGACAGCCTCAATGATCCAAGTGATGCTTATATCAATGGTCTGCCCTAAAGAATATTGGAAATCCAGTAATCAGTGTAGTCTTTGCCATAACCTAAACATAGCTAGGCTTGCAGACAGTGGAGCTCAGTCCATATCCGTGCCTAAGCAGCCCCTGTATAGCTTGCCATGGTCCCATGCAAGAGCCTATCTTCTAGGTGAGCCTGTCCCTAAAGCAGAATAGCCAAACAAACAGCACAAAAAAGAGGAAGATGATCTACAAGTGAAAGATAAAGTAAGAGATTTCCACCAACACTTACTGGTTCTTATTATGTCATGGGGGGAAAAGTGCACAAATAAATATAAAGCAACAAGTAAGTGAAGGAATAACTGTATAATATAAGATACATAATAAAACCAGGTCCACTATCTGGCAGCAGATAAGGTTTATATTTACAAAAGATGCATTGGTAAATATGAACCTTACATTTACATACTAAATACTACTAGTAAGTTAAAACACTCCTCATTTAAATCCTTCTAAATTAAATATTACTAATACTAATAATTTAAATACTTCTAAATTAAATATTACTAATACTACTTGCTAATTTAAATACTTCTAAATTAAATATAACTAATACTACTAACAGTATTTAGTATTCTTATTTATATTTACATACTAAATAATACTAATTGCACACTAAATACTAATAGCCCCTATTACTTTTTCTTATTTTGGGTTTTAAAAATTTAAGCAGATCACCTGAGGTCAGGAGTTTGAGACCAGCCTGGCCAATGTGGTGAAACCCAGTCTACTAAAAACACAAAAATTAGCCAGGTATGGTGGCACATGCTTGCAATCCCAGCTACTCAGGAGGCTGAGGCAGGAGAATCACTTAAACACAGGAGGCAGAGGTTGCAGTAAGCTGAGATCGCACCATTGCACTCCAGCCTGGGTGACAAGAGTGAAACTCCGTCTCAAAAAAAAAAAATCAACTTTCGTTTTATTGTGGTAAAATATACACAACATAAGATTTACCATCGCCACCATTTCAAAATGCAGAACTCAGTAGTGATAATTACACTTACCTGTGTGTTATTGCCACCACCATCCATCTCTAGAATTTTCATCTTTTCAAACTGAAACTGTACTCATTAAACACTAACTACCCACTTTCCCCACACCCCATCCCCTGGCCACCACCACTAAACATTTTGTCTCTATGATTAGATGATGACTTTAGATACATCATATAATCAGAATTATATAGTACATGATCTTTTGTGACTGGCCTACTTCACATAGCATAATGTGTTCAAGGCTTATCCATGTTGTAGCCTGTGTCAGAATTTCCTTCTTTCTGAGGGCTGAATAATATCCCATTGTGTAGCTAGACCACATTTTGTTTATTAATTCATCCATCAATGAACATTTGGGTTGCATCTACCTTTTAGCTATGTGAATGACGCTGCTCTGAACATAGGTGTTCACGTATCTGAGGCCCTGCTTTCAGTTCTTTTGAGTATATACCCAAAAGAGGAATATCTGGATCACATGGTAATTCTATTTTTTTTTTTTTTCAAGACAGTCTCACTCTGTCACCCAGTCTGGAGTGCAGTAGCACAATCTTAGCTCGCTGCAACCTTCACGTCCTGGGTTGAAGCAATTCTCCTGCCTCAGCCTCCTGAGTAGCTGGGACTATAGGCACGGACCACCACACCCAGCTAATTTTTGTATTTTTAGTAGAGGCGGGGTATTACCATGTTGGCCAGGCTGGTCACAAACTCCTGGCCTCAGGTGATCCACTCACCTCAGCCTTCTGAAGTGCTGGGATTATAGGCTTTACTGTGCCTGGCCTATGTTTAAATTTTTTGAGGAACTGCCTCACCATTTTCCATAGCAGCTGCGCCATTTTATATCACTCTGGTTTTTAACTACAGCCCAATGGGTTATTGCTTCCCATCTCTTGAATGGCCTGGACAGATAAAAAATCTGGCAGAGTAAGGATTAGGTATAAGCAATGCCCATGCCCAGTGAGAATCAACCACTGCTGAGGATTTCTGTGTGCATACATAAAGAAGGACATTCTTGGGGGCTCAACCTTCAATGATATATACCTCATAAGGGTACATCATCAATTGGCTTTTGCAAGCTGATTTTGAAGAAGTCTTCTGGAAATGAATAGACTCATTCCGCACATGAAGAAGCTGGGTGTAAAGTGGGTAATGCTGCAGCATTGATGAGCCCACAGAACTCCTCCTCTCTGTAAGTTAGGTACCTAGCAACTTCAATGACCTGACAGAGAGCCAGAGACTCAGGAGAAATTAATAAAAATGTGGCCTTTCTGGGCAGTCAGAACACACCACTGTGAGAGGGAGACAATTCCTCCCGACTCTTTGGTTTCCAAAGAGGGGATTATTTCCTCTACACAGCTGGCCTCTCTGCCCCTGACTCACTCCACCCTCAGTGACTTCTGATGAGTGATTTGGGGAACAGGAATGGGGCATGTCTTTCTCATGCCCTCCCCTTCTTCCCTCTCAGGAGCTGGTTGGGCCAAGAAGGTGTGTCTGGGTGGCTCCTCTACTGCAAGGTCTCCAGTGTCAGGCCCCAAGGAAAGAGGGCCAAGGTGCCTCTTACCCATGGTGCCTCTGACCATATGGGTAAGTCTCTATGACTCTGGGGTCCACAGTGAGGAAGTCCACTTGCCTATAGATGTTAGTATCAATCACATTCCCAAATATCAGTTCATTCACACTAAAGGTGATCTTCTGAACTCTCTCTGTTTGACTCTTTTGTCTCTTTTAAGTGCCTCAGAAAGGGAGATGACATCTATTAGGTCACCAAGTCTAACAGTGAGGTTCTTGCATGTGACTGGAAAGGGAGCCACTCGACATTTCATTGAATGTTTTGTTCTCTTGGTCTAGGCATAATTCATTTACATGGCACAAATAACCCTAATAAACTCAGTTTCCCCGCTCACAGAAGACACTACAAGGGAAAATGAGGAACGAACAGAAATAGGTGCAATAATATAACAAGACCTGATAAATGACGGCTGAAGTCATGGGAAAAGTAAAACCAGAAAAAGGAAAACGTACCCATAAAGAGGCAAAGCCACGTCTACGAGTATTTTCCGAGACACAAGGAAACCTCAGTTATGTCTGAGGTTATCACTACAATAGCATCATATGATACCTGGAATTGCAAGAAAATGGTCTATGATATTCAATATGCTGTTAGAGAAGGCAGGGACATTTAAAACTTTCCCATCAATGTGGCTAAAATAAGTTGAGTTTTCCTGCTTAAAGGTTAAGTTTCAAGTAATTTGGAAAATGTTTTTACTCAGAGTATGTGGCCTAATAAATGAGGCATTAACCTACTAAACATGACAGTCACACTCAAGGTTGACATTTATATGCCCATCCGAGAGTGCTGGGATGGTTCCGCTGTATGCCAGAGCATTTCCTCTGGCTCTGGGGAACTGCTTAGTCTGGTTATTTATGCCATTTGTGGGCTTTGTAACATCCTACTCAAGCTCTTGGAAGCCTTACAAGTTCTACGACTATTTGAAAACTATAGGTTCATCCAAAAAGATAGAATTCAG